CGCCGAGGGTTCGGATCCCATGTGGAGACCGGTTCCCGCTCACTGGTTGAGCGCAGTGCGGACGCAACACCGAGGGTTGCGATCCCGTTACCGGTCAGTAAAAAAGAGATTTAAAAAAAGGAAAGAAAAAAAAAAAAGAGAGAGTCCCTGAACTATACTTCATCAATTTCCTTTAAAGGGAAGCACAGTTAACCAGAGCACCATACTGTTTAGCTTTTCACCTGGCATTTCTGTCTGGTTTCACCTACAACCCTTTGAAATCCAAAAGGAATTTTCTTTGATCTGAGATCAGCAGCACCAGGTACTTGGATTCTGGGCTCAGGAAGCCAACATCACTCACAAGGAGATGAGAGTCAGAACAAAGGAGGGGTCAGGAAAACAAGGAGGCTGTACGATGACATCCAACAGATGCCATCTATAGACGATGCCACCGCACAATAAGAGAACTCAGGTGACTTAGAAATACTCCCAAACACCAACCTTTACAGAGAGGGAAAAGATCTGGGTGAGAGAGAAACTAAACAGTTAAGTCTCCTGGAGAATTAAGGAAGAAGCATAGGCTGATTACTTTTGACAGATCTGTTTCTTGACTTTTTTTTTTTCTGGGAGAGGTAGGTTTGCAATATCTGAACTCCCCGGCCTAGAGACTGAACCCCTGAAACTTATCAGGGGAGTCAGGGCAAGAAAATGAGGAAAATCTCCAAGATGAGCAGTATGTTGGAGACCTGCCACCTTCATCCAAGTATCAGAAAAACCTCTAAGCAAACACCAGTTTGTTCTGCAAAGGGTTTTTCTAAGGAACTGCACAATTCCACAAGAACAGAGGGGCAGAGGAGGTGGGACAGAACAATCCTGAGAAAGGGGGCAGGAGAAAACCCGAGAGGTATGTAGCAGACTCCTGCTCTTGTGGGGCAGGACAGAGAGGAGAACTGAGAGTTAGAGCACACAGGGTGTAAGTGTGATGGGGTGTGAGTATGTGCACACGTGTGCACGCGTGTGTGAGTGAGCATGCGTGGGAGGGCTGGGGGTGGCATTTGCTGGGAAGGCTTCTCACCATTTCTCTTCCTTGCCTCCTCCTTTGTCACTTTCTGCTGTGCCATTACATTCTGGGGTGAGCGTCTCCCTGAGCTGGGCTTCCCTGATTCGTTGCTGATGACAGAGCCATTCTCACTGGGCGACCTGCTGGAGGTAACCATAGCAACAGGGGAGATGGTAAGCTTAGCCTAGAGCGGCCTCCTCTCAAGGTTATTTTATTTGCACAGTTTACATCCATAGTCTTTTCTTTGGGTTTTATTGACAAAGAAGAAATGACACAGAAAAAGAAAAAACGAAAACCACCCACGCGACAGCATGGGTTCAGGAGCTGATTGTTCTGAGCGCATCTCCCAATGCTCAGCTCTGTGCAGAAGTTCAGTGAGCACAGACGCCAGTGCCCATCTCTGTTTC